CATCAACTTCAATAGACTTTTCTTCAGCTGAGGCATATTTCAACAAATATATTTGTTTTCCATCTTCTATTTTTTTGAAAAGCCTAGTATTGTAGCCTTCAGTACGAGTAGCCCGAAAATACCCCTCAACGATTTTTGCATCTTCGCGGGTACAATTCGAAGAATAATATGTCGTTATACCAGCAGATGGACCAAAATCTAACCTCAACCTGCGTGGATTCAGAGAATATATAGCAGGAACTAAGCTGGACCAGAGTGAAGAAACGCCTGAGGAAGGATCTTTGAACGATTTGGTTGAAGAAACAAGTATACTAAACCGCTCCTCTGGAAGAGCTGGAATAAATTTACTATCTCCGAATGACTTATAGTTGCCTAGGTTAGCGTAAAACATCGCAATATATGCGAAAGCGTTATCACATTCTAATTCATCGAGCCCAGCTGCTCGAGCAGCTCTACAAACATCTTCAGGAGATTCAATCCGAAATATCCTCTGAAAGAGAATGAAGATACCAGCTGACTCAGGCGAAGTTTGAATAAGGTCAATCAATCCGCCGATCCAGGAGGACTCATACGCCGACTTGACATATTTCTTTTCCGTAAGACTGAGGGCTCGGAAAGCTTCTTCAGCTTGCAATGAACAGACAGGAGGAGATTTTAGGATGTATTCCGTCATCGAGGGAAAACCAGGGTGAGGAGAAGTGACGGACTGTAGTGCAGGTGGTGTGGCAACTTGGGAAACAAATTAACAAATGCGCCTATTAGATTATCCAGAAACTGACACTGGTTCATTAATAGATACAAAATAAACTATAGTTAGTTATATATCAGGAAGCAATTTTGTTAATCAGCTTAAAAATAAGAAAATAAAAATACTAGTAATGATAAAAAAATCAAAAGTAAAACAAATTGATATTTTGCTGCTTAAATTAAAGTTTGGCTCTCAAGCTAATATTCTCTGTTTATAAGGTTGCTGTACTGTTTATTGCCTCCAAATGTACGCATACGTTTATAAGCAAGAAGCTTCCTGTTGAAAATTATTAGATAGCCTAAAAAATTAATTAGCAATAGATAATTGTAAATATTTTTAAATATTTCTATTGTAATGCACATCATATTCCCCTGATA